GACCTATCACGCTCCGATCTGAATTTTTTTCCCAATTCCTGTTTCATCCTTTCGCTGAATCGAAAGTGCAATTCCTTTTTCAGGGGATAACTACCTGAAGCCATACGTGATTCCGGAGCCGGAGGTGACCGTCACAGAACGAACAGGAGACGAGGAATGCCTAATCCTCGCAAGCGACGGACTATGGGATGTGGTGTCGAACGATACCGCTTGCGGAGTCGTTCGGATGTGCCTCCGAGCACAGAAACGGCCGTCGCCGGCGACAGCGGAAGGATCTCCGGCGTGCGAGGCCGCCGTGGGGAGCGGGTCCGATAAGGCATGCTCCGACGCCTCCATGTTGCTGACAAAGCTGGCACTCGCCCGGCACAGCACTGACAACGTCAGCGTCGTCGTGGTTGATTTGAGACGCAAGTCCAAAGCTGGAAAACCTTGATTGGGCTCGGCTTTAAAAATAAATAAATAAATAAATAAAAAAGTGGATTGGGGAATGGCGGGATAATATATATCTATAGTTCTATACGTATATAGATTATAGAACCAGTTTTAGGCTTTCTGGAATCAAAAGAACAGAAGGTTTTTTCCTGTCTGTTTTAGTTTTTCCTATGAACTTCCTATGGAACTGCAGAAATGTGCAGATTCTCGGGAAGATTATGTAAGGGGGGAATTGGGATACTTGGAGAATATATATGAAATCAGAGTCTCAATTTGTAAATTAGAGATGAGAACTTCTGGTCAGTTCTCAATCGAAGCTTCGATTCGCCCTGATTTATCCTACGACTTACGAGACCACCGATCGATTGTTGGATCGAAGTTTAACCAATTCCAGAGCAGCCGAAAGTTGTTGGATCAAAATTTTTCAACGAATTCCCGTACATCTACCGTCACAGTGAAGTACGATTGGGATTTCAATCGAGTAATTCATCGTCGTCCTGTTGTCATCTGGTGAAATTGAACAATTCTGGGTTACAGACAGAGACCATATGCCGGCTTCATCTATACACTAGCCGGAGTGATTGCCAATGCAGAATCACTCCGATCAAGTTATCCCTGTCTTTTGATTTGTCTCTGTTTCGCCACTAGCTAGATATCGAGGTTAAATCATCAGTCATATTGAAAATTTTAAATTCGCAATCAAGAAGTAGCTAAGCGGATCGAGCTCGTTTAGAGATTTTTCAGTATATGCTTTTATAGCTCGAGCTGACACTGACTGACTGACAGGGGTATTTCAGTAGAAAAAATGGGAAGGAATCTCCCCAGGCAATACATAGTGGAAGGAAATTAAGGCTGCTGTTGATATTTTGAAATTTGTGGGAAGTGCAGATTGGAGGTGGTGGTGGTGGCCGGCGGGAAGACATTCGTTGTTCTCGGAGTTCACACGGCGCTGCGGGGAAAACTGTATTTGCAGTGCAATGATATTATTATTATTATAATGATGGCAGAGAGTTGACAGAAGAAAGTGGTTTAATGGAGGGAGAGAGTGGTTTTGTTTGTTGATGAGGGAAGGAAGGTCGTGATCAAGGAGGCGTGGTGGTGGTGATGTCGTAGTTGGGCGGAGAGCTGTGGGGGGTACGTGTAATGAGGAGAGGGATTCATGCAAATGCAATCACAGTCATCGTATAATTCGGTCGCCAGCCAGCGAGGGAAGGAAGGAAACCCCGAAGGGGAGGGGAAAAAGATTGGGAAACGAGGCATCGCTGGGGAGGGAAGGAGGAAGAGTGGATAGAGGGGTAGATATTAGGATTAGATAAATCCAAATTCTAGCCATGGATTTCATTTTTTGGATGAAATCTTACAAGCAGAGAAAGCAGGAATTCATTTTTCGTCCAAATTAATTAGGAGCATGAATTGATGACGAAACTGTCATAAATCTCTCGCACATAGAACCTTAAATTTAATTCGTGGACGATGAAATCCCTAACCCAGAAAGGAGCGTATAATCGTTTTCCACAAAAAAATTCACTGAATGCACGTCTTGTCCAAGGGGACCCCCCTCCCCGACACCCAACATCCTCTTCTACTCAACTCAGGGTAACACCGTCGCATACTTCTTCCACCGTCAATCAATCACTCAATGAGGATTCATAAGCGACTCTCAACCGGCGACTTATGGTGTAGTAGTCCTAACCATCATGGATAAGTGCGCGATGGACGACGAGACCATACCCTACTATGTTCTATCCTCGATTGAAGTAGCAACAAAAGTTGTTCTTCAAGGCCTAAAAATTAGCATATAAGAATACGAACGTTTGGTCCAATCCGATTGTCAAGTATTCATCAGAACACTACTCAAGGCTCCTTTCGAGTTGGCCTTATCATGGTACAACTTGGATAGGATCAACGATATCAAACTGTGTCAAGCAAGTTTAATATCAGAACTGACTGGATCGCTCGTTAGATCGTTCTGTGTGACTGAATCCACTCTTTACCATAAAATCGGATTAGTATCCTTAGATTCTAATCTGCAACCAGTTGGTTTCTCCCCATTTCGATTGGTGGAATAAAAGTTAGATATTACTGAGAAAAAGAAGGCCGTGGCAATATATATATATATATTTTTTTATTATAATGAGATATTAACACAATAATTAGTGATGGAATAGAATGGAGTTTGGGCCTTGGGGAGGAGGGGCCCAGGTGGGTCGCTGCTGGTATGCAACTTTTGGCCTTTGGGGGATAGCTGGAAGCCACGGTCGGGTGGCTGGCTGGCTGGCTGCATTATTATTAATTTAATGGAATTGGGCTGAATTTGTTGATTCCAATTCTTCGACGGGACGTGGAAGGTTAGGGATGCTGACGATACACGACTTGATGAGGGGACGACACGTGTGATGGGAGGATGGTTTTTGGATATGGGCATTGCTGCTTTGGTTTGGTTTGGCGTAGATTTGGTCAGATTTTTTGATGTGGACTCGACGGAGTTACAGCTCTCGCCTTCTTTTCCTTCGCCTTTATTTTCTTTCCTTCCTTTCGCACTGCTCGCCAAAAGATTCCAGCTCAGCCTTCCTGCCCCAGAATTAGTAAATGGTAATTACCAATTAACAGGGATTAATATAAAACTTGGTGTTTATATTTTATTTCAAAAAAGTTTGCGGAGTGTCGGAATCTGATTGCTAGATGATCGAGACTAGTCCACAACAGATTAACACTCGCCGATTAGGATGTCGAATTATGATTGATTGGCGGCCCAAAGGCCTTTTACGCTCATTCTTATACCCTGATTCACCGTCGCCTAGGGTCGTACCCTAAACACAATCATAAGACAAACAAGTAAGGGAAAAGCTACAACAAGCAGGGGGTGGGTGCAACGATTCGGTCCAGTTCGGATCAGACCAAACTTGTGAGAACTGCGGTCCATTAATAAAATGCATCTAAGAATTAAGAACATGACCATCATTGTATTCGATACATTTGATCCGGTCCAAATTTAGTTTGGTCCATCATTTCTTCATTCAATAATTCTTCTAAAATCATGTGAACCAAGGACCAGACCACATTCTATTCAGGTCGATGCGGTCCGGTCCTTAGTCCCGTGCGCTTCGTTATGGACCGGACCATTGCACACCCCTAACAACAAGTCCAACCAAAGATGATGTGTTAACTTCATTGGGCTTACTACGATGGGCCGCAACTGATCGAGTGGGTTGGTCTAATAACAAGGTATGAGAATTGACACGTTACAATTCGCAAAATCAAAAATTCCGAGCAAAACTGACCATCTATTAATTTCAGGTCCAAGTAATCTTACATATTGGGCCGGGCCCATTGTCTATTGGTCTCACTAAGAAATAGCGCGTTGAAGTTTGGTAGCTAGGTTCTTCATTGTGCGAAGAAAGGTCAAATGTTGCACTGTCGACGGTTGACCTACTCGATCTCGTCAGACGCAAGTAGTCAAAACTGGTCAAAACTGCTCAAACAATATTTAAGTGTATTTTGAGATTATGAATTTGTAATCCAATGACGCCGGCTGCTGGCCGAAAGACCTTTTTTCTTGTTAAGATAATTCGTTTTATGCAATAACTATAAAGTTTGGATAAGCATGAAAGTATCATTGGCACGGTGCAAAATTAAAGGATATATTGATATGATTCAGTAAAACGACATCATTTTATTTACAAATTAGAAATCGATTATGTTGGTGGCACTTCAGCGCTAATTTTATAACCGACACAAGCTAATACCTAGTACAACCGCCCAACATTCAGCCAATGTCACAACCATGATGCTGGAACACTCTAATTGGATGGACGGAAAATCATTTGCCATTGCCAGTTAGTGCTTAGCATTCAGCAACGCAGGGCTGTTAATTAGTCGAGTCGACCCGAGTTTTATCTTATTCAGATTTGGTCGTTAATAAACGAGCCGAGCTCTAATTTCACTTATTTATAAATGAGCTGAGTCTAGTCGAACTCGAGTTGGCTCATTCATTAAAACCTACTTGACTCATTATTAAGATCAGGAGTTCGACTTGAGCTCAACTCTACGATAATTTATATATTATACTCTAATATTTATATCTCATATATTATACATGTGAATTACTAATCTCAAGACATATTTGCTCAAATACTCAAACTCTTAAACATATAAATTATCAACAAACCAACTCATATGATATAGACCGATTTTCTCATAAGCTTGTAGTCAACTTGGCTCACTAATCAAAATGTCGAGACATTTCATAAGCTCAAAACAAGAGATTCCACAAGTTGAACTTAACAAGCCGCCTACTCGAGCTGACTTACAAGGCTCACAAACTGAACAAGGCTTAAACTCAATTTTGCTCGTTAATAAATGTTAAACGATTCCAATTTTTTCTTGATCGGACGAGTTTTTATATAATTGGAAATCAAATCGTTCATGAATAGCTTGGTTTGATTAATAGTCATATCAACCATCATAACAGGTTGGGGGCAAGTTATTCACCCAGTATTTTTTTTTTCTCCCCTTCCTTCAACAGTTTCGTACGCAGTGGCTTTTCGCCTTTTCCACATCGGGGACTTCAAATTTACCGGTACCAGGCCACCGCTGCCAATTTCCCGGCAAGGCAGTTAATTCGCGCGCCCCTCAAATCCCTGCCCGAATAGGAGCAGTTGAAGCGCGCTTTCTCGTGGCCCCTGCCCTTTCTCTTTCCCGGTCCCGGAGTCAAATCAAAATTCATATAGGGCAGAGATTCCAATTTCCCATTGCTTTCATTCCAATCTAATCTTGGGACCTCTTTTGCCTCGTTTTCCCAGCACCCAATCAGCCCGGCCCCAAAAATTCTTACCTTTTCGGAGAAACGAAAGAAAGGTACAAGGCGTCATTCAAAATCCCTTCTTGATTAAGTTTCTGCCCTCGACCCACTATGCACCTTGCTCTTCTTATGGCGCCTACCAGATAAAGTGTGCAGCTTTGGATGGAAATCGAAAGTAGGGAATGTAGCTAACGGTCACTGTTCTAGTCTGATTCTTGCAGCAGGGCTCTGAGGGTTTCTTTTTCCCCTTCGAAAGAGAAAGGATACCTAGAATCCCTATAGTGGCCGATTGTGTGGTAATTTCACTCGTCTACCTCTGATAAGGTCAGTCTTTGTATCTGTTCGTGATTCCTAATTCATGGGTTCTTCGATTTCTAACGCTCCTCGTATGTTCGAAAAGTTGGATTCACGTTTTGGGAATGGGAAGGGATGCCCATTCGAGTATTGGCTTGTTGACCAAATTGTGAAAGTGGGCATTGTATCTGGGGGGTGTACTAATTAGTCAATGCTCCAAGGACGCTGTAATTAAATTCCTTGCATGTCTTATGTTAGAGAGTGTTGAGTTGCTTGCTTTGGAACTATCCTTTCCCCACAATGGCCTCCTGCCGGCTGTTTGGCAGTGTCCTATTTCTTTAGCGGCGCCTTTACGTTTGTTCTGGTTGAACTCGAATGGACTTATTGTTGGCATCTTTAGATTTGGGAATACCCTAAATGGAATGGAATGGAATGGATAAGTTCATAACTCTGCATATGTGGTACTAGGTTTCTTCCGAGCAAAGATGAATGCTCCATTGGAGTCTACTTTGTGGGATATACTTGGTGTGATTGAACCTCAGAGGGATGATTGGCTGTTTCGGCAAAGAATCATTCAAGAATTACAAGATGTAGTAAGAACAGTTCCAAGTCTTAGAGGTAAATCTCCTGTCTCTAAATGTCACCCCAAAGCTAAGTGCTGCTGTTAATTGAAGGAGACGCCTTAGACTATATTGGCTTGTATTTGTGCAGAGGTATTATGTTCCTTGAAGATACTTTCTTGTATTAACATGGAAATGTAACATCTGGATGATAACAGGTGCGACTGTGGAGCCATTTGGATCATTTGTGTCCAATCTATTCACTCCATGGGGGGACTTGGATATTACTGTTATGCTAGATTATGATTCTTACATTTCGTCTGCTGGGAAGAAGAGGAAGTTGTCTTTACTTGGGGATGTCTTAAGAGCTTTGAAGGAGAAAGGTATTGGCTTCCACAATTTTGGGGATGTTGGATTCGGACTTCAGTTCTCATAGTTATCCTGATCAGAATCAGACCCTTTGTTTTTTTTTTTTTAATCTTTTTTCATCTAATGGACCTTGTTGATTTTATTACCTGTTTCTCATGCATAACTCAAGGAAGTAAATCATACATTGAATATGAGGTCTGGAGCTGGATGTCCTATTAGTTCTGGATTAACAATTGTTCATTTAATGAAAAATGTAGTACCTTCTTGAGTTTACATTTATCATGCAGAGAAAATCGATATAATATCGCTCTGTTTACTTTAGTCCTCAATCTTTCTCAGTTTTTCTTGAATGTAACATGACTATGCGGTCAAACTCTTATTATTTATTTTGTTCCCCTTTTCAATGCTTTAGCTTGAAGGATCTGCTTAACTGCTGCAGGTGGATGGTGGAGGTTGCAATTTATCCCACATGCAAAAGTTCCTATTTTGAAATTTGAGAAAGGACGCCCTGCCATTTCAGGGGATATTTCAATTGACAACCTTGGGGGCCAGATGAAGTCCAAATGCTTGTTCTGGCTCAACCAAATAGATGGACGGTTTCGACCATTGGTGTTACTGGTACTGGATCAGAGTCCTAGAAAATATGCTTCTTCAGAAGATATGCAACCGTTTGAATCAATTTTTCCCTCATTTAGGTTAAGGAATGGGCCAAAACCCAGAACATCAACAGTCCGAAGTTTGGGACACTTAACTCGTACTCCCTTAGTTTGCTTGTGCTCTTTCATTTCCAGGTGATTTCTTCTCCTTTCATTCTCAAACCTTTCACAATATTGTTGTATTGGCTCGTGGGCATGAATTTTTCATTTTTAAGTGTTGGTTGGCTAGCTCCTCCCATTGCAAATGCAATCCTTGCCTTTTGAGGGCTTCAGTGCAGGGATGGGCATAGTAACTTTTTTCCAGTCTAAGCTTCTCGATTCATCATATAAGTTGTTCCATTTATTTGGTTCATACTTGTACCGTCTTTTGAGGGCTTTGTTAGATGGATGCTGTAGCACTTCATCAGCATCTGTACTTATTTGGTGTTTTCCTTTTTCTTCCATTTGAATGTGTGCAGACGTGTGAGCCAGCTATCTTTCCTCCACTTCAGGCTATATACCCAACAAATCTTGTTGATGACCTTACAGGTGTGAGGGAAACTGCTGAAAAAACTATCGCCGACCTTTTTCATGCCAACATAAGAAGATTTATAGCAGACAGATCCAGACCCGTGAACAGAAGTTCGTTGTCTGAGCTTTTTGTTTCCTTTCTAGCAAAGGTAATGGATAGTTCTTCATTCATTTTATTGTTACTAATCTGTCATCTTAGTGACTAGTCTTTTGTCCTTTCTTCTTTTCAGTTTTCAACCATCAGTCTGAAGGCCCGAGACTTTGGAATTTCCCCATTTACAGGGCAATGGGAAGAGATAAACAATAATACAAGATGGTTTCCCAGGACTTTTGCGCTCTATGTAGCTTTATTTATCCCTCTCGCGTCTTTAGTATCATCTGCTTCTTTTTACTTTCAATTCTCTTACCAATGTTATATATTTATATATTTCCAGGTAGAGGATCCGTTTGAACAGCCTGCAAATACTGCAAGGACTGTCAGTGTTAGAAACCTAGACAGAATACAGGAAGTGATTCAGAGAACCCAACTTACCATTTTGTCCCCCAATCTGACTTGGATCGATCTTCATCAGTTGCTGGTGAAGCCGGAGCTGAGTCGGGTGATCCTGTTTAGAAAGCAGAACCAGAATGGTAGTGGGCAAATGATGCATCCTCTTCCACAGCAGCAGCTGCCGCAGACAAGGAAGCATGTGCATTCTCCTTCTGCACCGGTTATAGCAGCTCGGGTTCAGAGTGCAAGGCCAGAGAATCAGTTGAGAAGCCGGATAAATGGGAATCATCACATTCACGGGTTATCATCAAATCCCAAGCAAGGAACATATTCCAACAGTGCTGTCCCGGAAGAGAGTAACCCAAACAAGTGGAGTAAGCAAGGGATGCAGCAGCAGCAGCAGCAGCAAAGGGGGGATGTCACTAATAGTAGGCAGCAGCTGTGGAGGCCAAGGTCACAACAAAGTTAGTGGCTCGTAGCATCAGAGCTTCATATACCTATATCAAATTGTTTTGGTGGCCTCTCTTATAAACGTATTAGAGAACCCGCCTGGGGTATTTTGGGCCAATTGATGAACGAATGCACAAAGTTGCTTTCTGCTGCTGCAGCTAACAACAGTTCTGTTACCACTTTTTACTCTCTTTGTTTAGAACTGCGAAGCCAGAGAATGCATTTACATACAAAGTTTTGGGTCTAGTTGGTAGCTGAAGTCGAGATTTTATAGCAAAAATGGAAGCAACACTTAACATCCCATAATATGCTTGATAGGTAAGGTTTACATATGGTTGGTAAAACAGGGAGAAACAGGTTGGGAACAAAACAAATACAACAGGAGTGTGAATAAAAGAATGAATCGCTCCAAGTTCCAACTTCCAACGGGTAATTAACTGCAAATATACAAGAATATTAGTTTAATTTGCCCACAATTTGGCAAACTAATCAATCAAATGTTGTCCTACACTTCGCCACGAACTTGACGTGTAGCGTTAGAGTTTACAATGTTACACGGCTGTCCCTGTTTATACTGTATTAGCAGGACGTCTCAGCTGTTGAGATGTTTTAACCAGATCAGTATCAGCAGCCGTCGCAGGAAACCAGTAACGTCAAAACCATCTCGACTACTAGCAACCCATTGTCATATCATCCACTAGCTCATGTGTGGTAGCAAGAGGAAGTTCCATCGACTTTCAGTATCTGCTTTATCTCAACAGTTTACCAGGATAGATCCTATGTTTATTTTGTTTTAAGAGCGCAAAAGGCGTTTATCACAGACCAGGATCCTATAACTTGCATGCGGTCCCTCAGAAGTGTCGTGTAAAGCTGAATGCCAACCCATGGCATTGGCAATCTCTTGCAGTTCTTCCATGACATCAAGGGTGTCTCGGATATATGCTCGACCACCAGGTCTAAGTATGCGATCCATCTCGAGCATGATCGTGGACAAGTTACATCTGATACAACACATAAAATGGAACTACTAAGTCCGAGAAGCAAAACAGCCATGTGCATCTTCTACAAGAGAGAAACTAAAACTTGGCAAAGGAAGTTGTTACCTTTTCCTCTCAACAGAGAAAAGCCCCGAAGCATGCAATAAATCATAAGTTCTCGGGTAGGTGTCAAACGGCTCACACCTAAATACATCATAGGCAACATTCTTATCAAGCTCAATTAAGGAAAATGAAAAAGAACCCTTAATCAGAGTTTGGATGGGTACCAATCGTGCATGACACCTAGCAGTCCACGATCGTATATGACAGGCAGAGTGTTCGGCCCACTAACCGGGACCACATTCATAACCCAGCTATTGAATCCATGATCAATTAGTGCTGCAGCAAATCTGCCAATACCGTGGGGTAAAAAACATAATTTTGCATTCAGATAAGCAAGTCAGAAAATTGCAAGGCCATCAGTTGGACAAGTATTGAATAGACAGGGTACCCTCCAAAACCGGACTTCATGTCCAAGACATTTCTGAGCTTAAGCTGTTTCCAATGCCAAGCACGGACATAGCCAGCTATAATTTCAGACCAATATTTCGACTCGGCCTTAAAAAGCTCTTTTCTGGAAATGTAAGCATCCATTTGTATGCTCTGAAGCCTATCAGGAGGTGTATGTAAACGAGCAGGCCATGCAGTCACATTCCCTCCGTATCCATTCTCAGGAATGCGAGTAATGCATGGCTTCAAATCAACATACCTAACACGAGAGAGTTTCATCAGCACAATCGAGTTAACCATTGGGAATAAGTTCCACATGCAATGAGGTTTCTGTAGATTTTCAAATTTGAGCTGCATATACTTCCCAATAAGCATCATTATCGGTGTATGAAATTTGATGTTTTTTGCTACAAGCCATTTCCGAAACCAAAGCAATATATGAAGGCAGAAAGAAATATACCAAACTTTATCAGGATCATCATCTTGATCACACAATGGAGGACTAACTCCCTCATCTCGACTTAAATAGCAGCTATTATTCTTGGGTTTCTGCCATATTGCAATATATCCCTCTTTCTTTACAAGCTCCCAGCAAAGCCGAGTTGTAAGGTTAAGCATCTCTGCAGAAGATACAAAACAATGATATTAACTACACCAGTCCAGCAAGAAGGAGACAACAAGGACAGTATGATCATCAGGTAAAGTAATTTGACAAATCAATTCAGTAACAATATTACTTAAGAATACAATAATCGTGTAAACTGATGATTTTGATATGCTTTTAAGAAACTGAGGTGATACCTTCCCATTGTTCCTCTAGCACTTGCTCATGCTTGTAAACAGGCTGCGCTGCCCAAGCAAAGTATCCTCCAGCTCGCATCATCCTGTTGACCTCAAGAAGCAAGATTCCATCTTCAAAATAACAGTCAGCGATCAGAAGATACAGACACTTGAAGTTTCTCCATAAAAATCAAATAGCTATAAGATTAATGTCTCTGCAACTAATGGAAGCATAAGAGAGCATATATTTTGAGATGTGAAACAGAGAGAAGAAGCTAACATAGCAAGGCAAACTGCCAGAACATGTTTTTAAACGAAGTTTTGACATGCAAAGAGGCAAATTTACATTGCCATTAAGCTAGGGCTAGTACCTAAGTCCTAGACTAACATTAGGAAATAACATTTTCTTCTTTATTCCTTGGGCTTTCCCACTACAGAACAAGGCAATCAAAGGATGGATGGCCATACATACCATCACGAGTCCAATTGATTCTACATCTTGAACAATGGATGATTTCAAAGGCCTGACTCGGATACAGGAGACGATGGGTTGCAAAAGCAGCTACCATAGCAGGGACACCACGCTCAAGAGCAAATTGAATCTGGTTCTCGTGCACATCTTTGGGAGCTATCGACAAAGGTGCGACATCCCGTGACATTAGATATGCACCAAAACTTGCTACACCGCATCCGACATCCAAAACAACTCGTGTGTGATTACCAAAAGCAATGTCTGGGACCATCTGTATGAAAAGGAAGAACCAACGTAATCCAAACCTTAGTAGACTAGGAATGTAAACGAATTTTACCTTCAAACTAATACTACGAGAGAACAACTTGACAGACCTTTGAAATTTGATCCAAGTATTGATCTGCGCCATGAATGAACTGTGTTCCACCACCAGGGAACCTGAACTTGTCCTTGGCTTTGGTAATCCAGTTCTGACCTCCTTTATCATCGACCAAACGTGTGTGGGGTACATTGGAAAACCACACCTAAAAGGGAAAAGCGAAGTGCTTTCAAAATCCTCAGCAAGATTAACCAGACCAACCAACTATCATTCCCTATCCTTTTGAGCACCTAACAGCTTCCCAAAACTAAACACGGCCAGCCGCATACAATGAAATGGTTGAAAACAGCTCAAATGTCGTAAATTTTGCAGTTATTTTCCGTCATTGTTTCAGATCACCATACCTCATCACGACTCCGGGGCCATGGAAGTGGTTGGCGGTACCCTTTGGGCGGCGGAACCAAGCAGTTCAGCTCTTTCCCTTTCTCAGGACAATGCCGCTCAAATCTCTCCCCTTTCTCCGTAGATTTCAACTTCTTGATTGCCTCTACATTGTCCAAACACGGAATATACTCTCTCATACTCTCAGAACACAGCTCAAATCTCTTAACCTTAACCCTAGAACCCTCACCACCTTCACTCTCGACCTCAGTTTCATTCCCCCAATTCTCCACAACCTCCGGATCCACCTGCCCGACTTCAAAATCATCGCTCATCTTCCCATCCCCATCAATAACCCCAAACGTCCGATCCAATTCCACCAGCGGAGGAGGAGGAGGCTGCTCCGCAGCCGCTGAATCACTCGCCGGTGACGTGGAAGCCGGAGGCACGGGGACCTGCTCGGGTACGGTATCGGTCTGGGTGATCAAAGCAGTGACATTAAACGACTTGCCGTAGTTGGGGGAGACTCCGACAGAGGTTCCTGGTGAAGAAGAGAAGAAGACAACCTGCTGGTCGCCATTGGAGGAGCTCCAGTGCTTGCCCAAGTAGAAAAAAGTGAGGGTAACTAAAATGAAGCCAGCGATCTTGAGAACGAGAGGGGTCTTGAAGAGATCCAAACCCGCCGGCGCTTTCATGGTGTTGTCGGGGATGGAAGATCTATTCACTTGATCTACGAAGTTGCTGTTATGAGTGACATTGGGTTTGTGACGGGACGGCGGTGCGAGGGTGGCGGTGGCGGTGGCGGTGGCGGTGGGAGACGAGTATAGTGAGGCGAGCTATGGATTTAGCAGGATCCGTGGGCTTTGATGTGTAGTGGTGACGAAGTAACACTGCTCTGAATTTGAGGGATACGTTGATTGAATTGCTTTTTGGGTGAAATACTATTGTGGTCACTGAACTTCTTGTTGGTCAACCGAATGATCACTTAATTTATTATAGCTTCCTAGTCTCCTCTTACTTCAAGAATATGAGATCAATTACAGATAGCACATTGAATTTTGGAAAAACTACCGAATTTGTCATTGAATTTTGAGTTCTAAAAGTTGGAATAGCTATTATAAGTATATAACACATAGCACATTCATCGTCATGAAATTTTTCATCTAGACTAACATGTCAATTCAGCTACGTTTATAATAGCTCATTCTTCGAAAATTAGAACCTCATTAGCTTAAATCTGCGTTTATATAACATTTTTGTTATTTATTTAGCGAGTTGATATATAACCTAAACAATTTATACTCAATTGACAGGACTAGTTTGTTTACTTTTTTGGTTATAGAACAAACTAAATATTTTGTTAGTTATACAGAATTTCGATGAAAGTTTTTTAAGTATTAAAATTCAGTAATTTTTATGAATAAAAATTTCCATGACTAATTTGTCAATATCATCAAGTGTAAAATGTAGCAATATTTTTTTTATTATGTTGACCCGATCAACAAATCAAAGGCTTCTTGGAAACAAAACCCGGAAACTTAAAAATCAACCCCACCGACGACCTTCGAAGTCCGAGCCGTAGCCGCGCATTTTTTGTGCAATTTTTTTTTTGTGTTTTGGCATTTCTTTGCGAACACTCCACCTGTTTTCTTCGTTTTCGCCCCGCCGGCCGTTTAATTTCCTCTCCAGCGATAATTCGTTCCTCCTCTCTCATAGTCGCTCGCCCTAATTTGTTGGGTTTACCTCCCAAATTTCTTCAATTTCCAACACCCTACCAGATTTCGCGTCATGCGCTCATTTCTAGGGTTTGCGTCCATTACTGCCACTGTATGAATCCCGCCGTGCTATCATAGGATCGAGAAAATTCGTTGACAGTTTTGGCTGAAATTCCCTGTGTTTCTTTTGATTTAGTTGGTGTGTGTGGTGAAGTTTGAAGCTTCGGGTTGGAGGACGGGGCGGTGTTGGGTTTACAGTCGCGGGGAAAAAGTCTATCCCGCAATTCAGATGAAAAATGTATGATATGGCTGGAATGCTAGTTGAGTTGAAGCCGGTCGAGCCGTAGCCGAGCATTTTTTGTACAATTTTTTTTTTGTGTTTTTGGCATTTCTTTGCGAACACTTCACCTGTTTTCTTCGTTTTCGCCCTGCCGGCCGTTTAATTTCCTCTCCGGCGATAATTCGTTCCTCCTCTCTCATAGTCGCTCGCCCTAATTTGTTGGGTTTACCTCCCAAATTTCTTCAATTTCCAACACCCTACTAGATTTCGCGTCATGCGCTCATTTCTAGGGTTTGCGTCCGCAACTGCCACTGTATGAACCCGCCGTGCTATCATAGGATCGAGAAAATTCGTTGACAGTTTTGGCTGAAATTCCCTGTGTTTCTTTTGATTCAGTTGGTGTGCGTGGTGAAGTTTGAAGCTTCGGGTTGGAGGACGGGGCGGTGTTGTGTTTACAGTCGCGGGGGAAAAGTCTATCCCACAATTCAGATGAAAAATGTCTGATATGGCTAGAATGGTAGTTGAGTTGAAGCTGGAGATAGATAAGGAGCCATCTTGCTCGAAGTCTGTGAACGAGACGGTGAATGGGTCGCACCAGTTCACTATCAAGGGGTATTCTTTCGCGAAAGGTATGGGGTCCGGAAAATGCATTTCCAGTGATATTTTCACGGTGGGTGGTTATGATTGGGCAATTTACTTCTACCCGAATGGCAAGAACCCAGAGGATAGCTCCATGTACGTTTCTGTGTTCATTGCCTTGGCCAGCGATGGTACAGACGTCATGGCGTTATTTGAGTTGACGTTGTTGGATCAGAGTGGGAAAGGGAAGCATAAGGTGCATAGCCACTTTGATCGTGCGCTGGAGAGCGGGCCATATTCGTTGAAGTACAAAGGGAGCATGTGGTAGTGTGCTTCTTAATCCCTTGCTCTGATCAGCTTGTAGTTAGGTTTAATTGTTTTGATAATCAGTAATGACCAAATTGTGGTAATGTAACAGGATGGATTAATAATTTGTTATCATTGGCGCCTTCCAATGAAGTAATTTGTGTGTTATCCTGAAGGCTTTCAGCTCCATAGATATGTGCATGTAATTATTGGCGTGTGCATTTGTAGTTATTCAATTGTTGAAAGCTTGCTATGAGATTAATGCAGGCTCATTTATAGTTATTGTCGCACTGCAGGGGTTATAAGCGTTTCTTTAGGAGAACAAGTCTAGAAACTTCAGATTATATAAAGAATGACTGCCTCATCATGAACTACACCGTTGGAGTCGTTAGAACTCGTCTTGAAGGACCTAAGCAGTATTCTATTATTGTTCCCCAATCCAACATGGGTCGGGGTCTGAAGGAAATCATGGAAGCTGAAGTTGGTTGTGACATTGTGTTCCGTGTTGGTGATGAATCATTTAGAGCTCATAAGTTAATCCTTGCTGCAAGATCACCTGTTTTTAGAGCACAATTCTTTGGACTAGTAGGGGATCGTAACTTGGATGAAGTTATGGTGAATGATATTGATCCCACGATCTTCAAGGTATCCTATGGTTTCTACCTCTGTCTGTCATTCAACATACTTGTCTGATTGCATGTGAGACACCACTCTAACTATTCATCGGAATCTATCATATGGAATAATCATGCATCAATATATATCCATGTATATTGAGCTGCCGTGGCCGGTGGTGAATCTAACTTAAACAGAAAGTCGAGGGAAACATTTTATTTGAATATTATAATGCTGCCCAGTTCCATTTGTAGTCATCTTGTTGTTGTTTCTTTGCATTGCCTTTGAATCTGGATTTGTTTTGCATGATTATTGGCCTTGTTCGAATGTGTGTAACAACCTTTTAGCATCTGGTTTCAAAAGTCTGCACATTGTTGCTTGTAGCAACTGTTTTGTCTCTTATTGGCTTATGGATGGCCTTTCGTCTTTGATGCTAGAATTTGTTATATTTCTCAGTATCTCTTATTCTGTGTTTTGCTGTTAATTACTCTGTCACTAGATATGCCTTACTCTACTTGCATAATGCTTTTATGCAGGCAATGCTCCTGTTCATTTACACGGACAAACTTCCTGAAGTGCATGATGTTATGAGCTCGTCTTCATCCACAAGCACGTCTACCAACATAATACAACACTTGTTAGCTGCTGCCGATCTGTACAACTTAGATCGCTTGAAAGTGCTATGTGAATCAAAGCTATGTGAGGAGCTATCGGCTGTATCAGTGGCCACAACACTGGCGCTGGCTGAGCAGCATCAGTGTGTCCAACTCAAAGAAGTCTGATTGAAATTTGCGGCGTATCCAACAAACTTGGGAGGTGCGTGTTTTTCGTAGGGCACTGAACAGTACAAGTTTCAGGTTATGTCAACTCCATTGTTCTGCAAGTATGAGATCTCTGCATCTTTTTATATAGAGCATTATGCTTAACTTAACAACTGTTGTTAACACATGGTTATTGATATGGTATGATTGTGCATTCATTGATACTTCATCTCTCCCCTCTCTGAAAGACCGATAGAACAGCAAAGACACTTTATTTTATCATTGACTGTTTGTTCGAGCAAGAGGATAAGTCATTGATATAAGATCTTTACGTTATGATAGTTAGTGCCCTGAGGATTGGTTAAAAGTAGAAATGAAAATATACTACGATTGAAAAGAATGCTTTAAATGACTGGTTATGGCAATCTGTGCCTACTGTTGAGTTTCAAATCTTGTGCATGAATAGCACCGCCATGGGTCATTTTCATTGGGGATACTGAAAGTACCTTGAAAAATATGTAGTTTTAGATGTCAGGGAGAACAAATCCAGCTACACGATGCTGTTCGATGGGGAGACTTTATGCTGCTGTGCAGTGAAAGCATATTTTAGTAGTTTTGGGGGCATGTCTATATGCGTCTTATGGATCAATGATAATGTGTGAGCCTGTGTGTTTGTGTATATATTTGGCAGTGGTGACGCAATAAGAAGGTTTCAGACATTTGGAGCGGAGCTGCCCGGCATTAGTGTGCGAGTTGTTGAAGACACTTGCCTCAGCTGATGAGAACTCAAACATGCATCCTAGTAGGAAGAGAGGCGGCACCAGCATATACAACTTAGACATTGCTGCAATAGGGGGAGCTGCAGATGATGGGGCTATGGCAGAATCTAGTAATCCGAACATGAGGCGGGTGAGAAGGCGGTTCTAGGCGTACATGTATGCCACTTATATATATATATATATATGGCCAGTTCTATCGTACCCCGGGTAAATTCCGGGGTATGGCGTACCTTGATGATCTTAACCGTACGTGTGATCTCGACGGCTGAGATTAAATTTCGTTAAATGATTTGTTTTTTCGGATTTATATTAAATAAAATTACAGATCAACTCATAGAATTAGTTTTTCTTTCATTTTAGTCCTCTATGTCCGTGGGTTGGTTAGTTTGATTTGGGTTGGGTTTTTTCAATATTTTGATTGAACCCAAATTCAACCACCCCAAAACATAAAGGGTACCTACCCCATCCAACCTACCACCACTTCGTTCCCCCCCCCTCCCGACCCTCTCTTCTCCGCTGCTACACGCCGATACCTTAATCCCCTATCCTCTTCCCCTGTTCCTCCGTCCTCCGCCGCTAGACGCCGCTAGCCCTCTCCCTACCCTTTCTAATCTCCCTTGTCGGCCCCAAATTCATCGCTCACCAACAACTTAGATTCTCCTTGCGGAAGGGATTTCGAATCCTTGCAACCAGAAGAAGAAGGAAGGGTTCTCCTCTGCTCGCTTTTTCTGGCGATTGGCGTTATGGCTTCTCGAACGAGTTGCAGAGACCTTCGTCGAAAGAAAAAGGGGTGACCTCCCCACCGTAGAGTCCTCCCACGACGATACAAATGCTCTTTGATGACTCCGACGCCATTAGCCTCGCTTCCAAGTTCCGTCACTAACAGATCAACGGCGGCGCCTCAATGTTCTATCATTGATGATGTCAAACCTTCCTGGGTCAAGTTCTGCGAATTTTGTTTATCGCACATATTTGTGTTAAAACTAGATATGCCATACCCTCAAAATCAATAATAGGACCATGTTGTATCGGTATGCTATTATGGAAATTTTGTGGATTTATGTGGAGCAGAAAACTGAAGTTTGAATTTGAAAAGAAAAAGAACTGAAATTTGAATTACGCCGAGGAAGAAGACGATCGAAGTGAAGCTTCTGATCGTTTCTCAACCACTCACGAGATGGAATGTGGGCTAGTTTCCATAAACTTAGCATACAAACAAGAAACGTTGGCAAACTTAGTGGTTAAGCTAGTAGTTTACTATTAAGTTTGCTAGAATAGGTGTAGGGTTCGAATACTAGTTTCAACCATTATATTTAGTTTTTTTATAATTTCATTTGAAATCACTTGTTCATAGTTGATTACCCTCTCCTTGCTAGTCAAGTTTTTGGAAAAAATTTCATTTTTCTATTTAGAATTTTATTTTACAACTATTCATAAATAGTAATTCTACACAACATGTCATTTTTGTCACACACCACCGTTGTGCCCACCTCCACCTTGCAACTTTGCGTTAACCCAAAACTAGTACAAAGGACTAGTACATCCCAAAACAAACCTTTGCTAAACCACGTGAAAGGGCATTTGTAGTGCAGTCTAGTGACTAAGTTTGAAATTCTGCCTTGACAAACTTATAAACGTGAAAGCTCCATGTTCCGAATGGTTCAATATTCTGCCTTGACACTGATGCGTGTAAAATGGATTGGTTGTTATTATAAAAGAGATGCAGGATGCAGTGTTGCTTTAAAAAAATTTGTAGCGTAAACGATTTCATATACTAAGACGCATGTAACATAGTATATAACATTATAGTTGAAAAGTGAGACTTGACATCGATAGAAGTTTTACATTGATAGAAGTTTGTCGGTTGAGGTAGAATGTCTTGTTCCTTATAAATATATTTATATCAGGCACTTTCATGACATCGATACCTATGGCCAAGTCACGATGAGGTTATGATAGATCAAGGAAGATCTTATGAGATTTTTGTCGGAGATGATCCTATCACGTGGAACAATTGTTCTTTGTCATTCTAGATGATCAGTGAAATTCGCTAGACAGCTAAAGTACCATAGGTTGTTTTGAGATCCTAATTATTAGTTCACTATCGATTCGGATTATTTGTTGTCTAAATAACCTGATCGATTGATTAAAAAGGCCTCGTATTTTTTGGCCATTAAAAAGGCCTCATGTGAATTCGAACATGCCTTTTGTACCAGGCCCAATAAGGCCCTTAGCAATAGCAGATCGGCGGCACAACGCCTTTTCGCATTATTTGTACTAGCGCAGGGCCCGGCCCGTTGGGCGGGTAAACTAGCCATAGCCACGGTTGGATCAAACAAATACAAAAACCAAAAAAAAAAAAAACAATAAAAACCTCCCACCCACCCGAAGACGGTTTAACTCCCTTCTTCCTTTCCCTTCCTCCATCGCTCTCACCTACCCTCCAGTCCCTCCACAGAAACCTGACCATCCACATCCCCAACCCGCCATCTTCTGCTTCTCCTGCTTCCCGCTCCCTCCGCAAACCCCGACCCTCCCACTACTCTCGCTCATTCTCCCTCGTCGAACAACCCTGCCGTCGAATCACCACTCGCGCGGACTCCAACAACGGCACCGAGTCACGACGTCACTATTCACTCGCCGGCGAGAAGACCAACTGTCCAACCAAGCCATTGCATGCACTCATGTTCCAGCCCTCCCTGACTGACCGATATTAGTACCATCTCTACATCTCCAGGAGGTAAGTTCTAAAGTCTTACCTCGTAAAGACCCAGCCGAAGACGTTTCAACTCCCTTCCTCCCTGACGCCTTCTTCTGCTCTGCTCACTCTCCGGCCAACAAAGCAACTGGAAACCCATTCCAGTGCATGCACTCATTTTCCAGGCCTTCTCTCTGCCTGATCGACGTTAGTCCTATCTCAGCAGCTCTAAAAGGTAATTTCTAAAACCCTACCTCGGCAAAATCTCCCCTTTCCTCTCATCAAGAACTTCAACCAATTTTTCCAGCCCACTCATCAATTACATTCGCTTGCTGGCCTTCAAATTAGGTTTCTCCAGATCTACTACAATCTTATCATCCAGAATTTTTTTTTTTTAGTTCGATACTCCAAGGAAATACTTGCAACGCCCACAGGTGAGTTAGCATCCATCCTTTTCTGAACGAATGCGGTTAGCCTATTTAATTCATGGACATGATTAATAACTCATGCTTGGATTTTCGCATAGCATTGATCCATAGTTTAGGACATATATGTCAAAATTATTTAGGTTGATTCTGATTACATAGTGTGTCTTGCAGTTCAACTAAACTTTGTATGTTTGTATAATATGTAGTAGAATTGAGTGATAAAATTCCAGTTACAAATCAAAGAAGAAAACGTCAACAGAAATCAAATATAGGTCCAATTGTAAAATACATCGAAGTATTGACACATTCATGTATTGGGTTGCTATTGTTTGTGTATATTCGGGTTTACATAATTAGTTGATTAGTTTTACAGCTCTAACATTTGTTGATAGAGTTGCTAATATTGCTACTAATCTAAATTATAGATTTTTTTCCATGGGAGACTTCGTTTCAAATCTGCACTATGAAGTTGCCGTAAGAATTTGGGACACTGTAGAAACTATAGATCTTATCCCTATGCAATTGGATGTTGCTAATCAGGTGAATCAGATAACATGTATTTTATCTATCCGGAATCTATATTTTATCTAAAGAATTTGCATCTAATTTGGTCTTATTTTGAACTCCTTATGTTTTGGCTTGTACCAGGGCAAGTCATACATTCTCAATGGCTGGGTCACAGAATTGAGGAGATCTTGGCATGCCGCATCCAGCATATACTTGCTTCACTTGACAATTGAAGATTTTATCACCGATATTGAGGTCGTATTTCCATCAGCTTACTTACGGCGAGTCATGTCTGCTGTTGTTGGTCCTGATGAGATGGAAGATGTGGAGTACATTCCACTACTCAACATGATTGGTGAGACGCCATATAGGGTCTTGGTCACATTCGGACCTTGGAACAACGTGGAGAATCGTCTTGATCTCTTCTTGGTTAAGTTGTTCCCGATTTTAGATGACTAAGTAGCGTAGGGTATTATTAATATAATCGGATTAATGGTAGTAATGGTCCACCTCGCTCTAATTTCGAATTATGTAACCGCGTAATGGATATGTGAACGCAAATATTTTTTGAAAGGTTATTATCCTTTTGAGGTGGTCCTTCATGTAACCATATTTTGAGCATCATATAATTTTGCTCTTTGTTTACTGTCACCTTCCTTGCTATTTGTTAATTCCTTTTAAATTGTTGTACTCTAGAGTTTAGAGTTGGAACTCGCTGCCAATGCATTTAGGAAGCCGCCCAAACAAAATAAAAAAACCCCCACAGGCCCAATTTAGATAGGTGAATTTGGAATGTATCAGCCCGCCTGGGTGTAGTCATTTGCCATGGGTTTTGCCAAAACTCTGGGCCCGATTAATTCATGAGCCACATAGGGAATAAGCCCATTTTTCCAGCTAAAATATAGCATTTAAAATTTAGTCTTTAAAAAATGTTAAACTGTCATTGTATATATAATATTGGTAATAACAGAATTGTAAATTCGACAAATGTATTAATGTTTTCCTAAAATCGTCAGATCCCTTGAGTAAGCTATGAGTACAAACTTTTCTTTTCATCAGTGGCCAGATACATAAGCTCAATGCATAAAAACATATAGTCCATTGCTAGGGAAATTGCCTTAACAAAAATAAATAGCCAAACATGACGCCTAACAATTGTCCATAAAAAAAAATAAACTGTAATCATAAGTTAAACCTGAATTGAAGTTCATAACAATTGTCCTTCCTCAGTGAAGGGGCTTTCGATCAATATCTCGTTTTCTTTAAGCTCAATTTCCTTCTGGTGTTCCAAACTATAACCAAACATTCCCGAAACCCTAATTGCTTTCTATCCCAGAGTTTGATTAGTGATTTGCAGAAAAGAAGAGCAGGAATCTCGCGCTCGATTCACCCAACAAAACACTCTGTATTGAAAAATATCTATCGGACTTGTCTCACCAGGCCCATTAGCGGACTTGTCTTATCGGCCCGTCAACATTTATTCATTTAGCCCATTATAAAGGATCACCAACCGGCCATTTATTGC